GAGAAAACCACCCCCTCTTAAGGGGAGGTGATTATGGTACCCTATGATTCGGTGGTTACTTGGAGGTCATCTCAAGAAAAAAATTTCTGCATAATTTTTTAACTAATTCAGGTCTTTTAAAGACATATACTCTCCTTCTCCGTATACTCTCTATCTCTCTTTACATTCTCTTTGATTTAACACTATACACTTTTAGATTTGTGAACGTGAGAATTTAAGAAGGGACTCTAGTAGCTGCTCTTCTTCAACTTAATACAAGATTTAGGTGTATAAGGAAGGTAGAAGAAGTTCGGGGTTTGACATCTGAAGCTATATAACCATTGAAGGGATTCACACTTAGTGATACACTTTGCCATGCTTGCACACATCAAGCCACATTGGACAATCATCCAAGACATTATTAAGAAACTCCCGACCATCAATCTAGATTGGAGGAGGTGTAATGTGAGAAATATGACCGTTAAGAGAGTAACAGGGCCATAATTGATATGTAAAGTGTAGTTTATCAATAATAGAAGGTTTACTAAATAAATCAAAATTTTTGATGAAATGTATATCATCATATAAATTACAGTTGTTTTATTTAAATACATGAAATAATTTTGATCATAATTGGCAGCAGCCTCGCGAGGAGTTAACGACCGGACATACTGCAACTTTAGAATCACCAAGCGACTTGTTTTTCCCTATAAGGATCAAGGAGGGCATAGCACAATTCTTCTTGGAGGAGAGTTGGTTTGGTCGGCAGACTAATCCCTAAAATTTGTTCAACACATATTCAACAGGTCGTCTATTAGTGTATATTGGATGGTTTTTAATGTTTATATTTTTTGAGTGGGGTTTAGTCTGTACGATTAAAGTCCAGTTCCATTAAGACCCAATTTTTTTTTTTTTTGATGTTATATAAAAATACTAGCTATTGCTTGTGTCTGAAGACACAAAATAATAAAAAATAGTAAATAATAAATATATTTGTATTTATATTCAAAATCAAATCACAAATATAAAGAAAAGATAAAAGAATTTTGACATCAGTTTGTGGTAAGGGATGAGAGGTGGTGGGCGGCAGTGGTGGTGGTAGAAAACGATGATAGTTGTGGTGGGTGACAATGACCGTGGTAGTCGTGGTGGTGGTAGCGACGACAACAGTGGCGGTGACGGTGGTGGCGGTGGTGAAGCGGTTTCAAATACTATTTTTTTAAAAAAAATATTTATGAAAAATAATTTCTAAAAATTACTTTTAAAAAGTCACTCCAAACACACGCTTAAAGACTTATTTTTCCTATTAAATTTATGGTATTAATATTAACCGTTTGATTAATTTTAAAGTAAAATTAAAACGATCTCAACCGCGAATAACAAAAATCATTTTGCTTATTTTTAAATTTGAATTATAAACTACTTTATTATATAGATAATTTTTAAAGGTTAAGTTATACATTTATGACTTATCTTTTGTAAGGTGTAACGTGGCCTTTAATAACATTATTTGAATTATACCTTAACTCCTCAAAATATTTTTACTTAACTTCAAAATGATGTAATTTTTTATATAATATATATTTTTTTTTTTGGATTCCTTAATTTTGAATATTAAACAAATGAGCCATTAAAATGATATTAAGGGATATTGTGCGTGAGAGGGTAGCTGACCATCTGTATGATGTTCCCCAAAACACAACATCATTAAAGAGACAGCACGAGGTGCAATTTCTATAATGTTTCTTGTGCTTCAAGTTTATAATTATTACTAAGAAAATACTATATAATTTAAATTTGCGTCTCAAATAAATGGAAATTATTAGACGAGTGAGTTCTATCAACTTTTTTAAATAGAAATCACTGATTTAATAGTCTTTATTGATTTAGGATGCAAATTTAAGTTGTAAATTCTGATTACATTAGCATTGCTCTTGTTACTATGACTGAATAATAGAACACTATACAAAACTATTGAATATGAACTTTGTCTATGAGTAAGGTTAAGATATCAAAACATATTTTATACAACAATTACTATATTCAAAAGGTCAAGTATGTAGCAGCTTAATTTACTAAAGTTGTATCAATATAGACGGATTAATCTTAATACTTTAAAATAGATCATAACATTTAAGTAGTAATTCTTGACTCAAATTGTGGTGGATTAAATCAGTATTTTAAGTGTAAATATTAAATTTTTGATCAATTTTTAGCTTAAATTAAAGTAGGAGCTTTTCATTATTTCGAGTAAATTTTGTAAGTTTGTGTTTTACTCCGTAAAGAGAATAACGTAGTATGTTCACTTGCTCAAATCAAATAAGAAATGAATGAGAAAATAGACTCCAAAGTGACCCAATTCAATTACAAAAATAGAGATTTTGCAATGCGAGATTTGAAATCAATCTCACATTTGGCCCTAAGGCGTATCACGTACACTTTTATGAGCAGTACGAGTGCTTACATGTCATTGTTTTGATCACACACACACACACACTCGCCTCGCCACAACCCGGTCGGGTTCGGGTACGAGTGTGGTTTAAACCCATTTTGATCTTTTTGCAGAAAATTTATTTAACGAATTGGACATGAATTTTTTAATTTGGAATTTAATTTCTGGTGCTTGTTGGAATTCAAATTTTGCATCTGTTCGGATTTAATCTTCCTTCTAGTCTGAAATTTTGAATTCGTGTCTATTCAGCAGACTTCCATGGTGTCTTCTAGGTTTCTTGCGTCTTCTGGGTTGTGTATGTTGTTGCACGGTGACTGTCCAAAATAGTCACCAATTTGCTTATATAAACTTAGGCTCATTACCATTCTGATCGTCCAATTTTCGATATTAAGGCAAACTATCAGAAAGTACACAATACAATTTTTGATTTGTTGGGCGATTAAATTGGAATGCTACTTCTATTCGTATGAAGATCTAACTCGGGAGGCAGACACTTTGATTTTCATAAGCAAAAAAGTGTGAGGGCGAAATCTGTTTTAAGCATATAGTGTCAAATACTAGCTTTAATATGCAGAAAGTTCAATAACAGTTCTTGATTATCAAATGAATCAATTTATACTTTGGGTTAATTACAAATTTATGTACTATTGCTTCGTTCTTACCTATAACTATTACGTTCTTACTTGTAACTGTTTTGTTCAAACTTATAACTGTTTCGGTTTTGTCTATTACTGTCTTATTTTAAGTTGCATGATAAAAATCAGAGATTTCAAATTTTATTATTTTTTGGGAAAGTACAAATAACAAATTGTTACGCACACGCGAAATCGAAAGAAGTTATTATAATTGTGTATGAATATTGAATTAACTTGGGGACCACATAACTAAATTTAATAAGACACACCCAATTATCAACTCTTATCCTCAATTTGCTGAAGCCATAGTGAAACGAGGGAGCCATATATGCTTCCTGGGTTATGAAAATTACTTTTAAAATTTTTTAGTAAATCTTCCTTAAAGTGTGCATATATATCTTTTAATTTGGTCAATCTCAATTCCCTATTTTGATTTGTTTCACTTTTAGTTGGTCCCTACATTTGAATTCATGGTTTCTCCCGGGGCTCAATGGTAGGTGTACATGTCAATACCAGTGCCCAATGCTGCCTCAAAATACCACATCAAGGGTCACACACACATTCATTCATCTGACAGAAAAATATTATTAGGGAGATTTTCATTAAATGTTAGAATTTTCCGATAATCTAATTGTTACCATAAATTTGATCTTCAAAGTAGATCTTTGTAGCATTGGTCATAAACTTAATGTATTGAAATACCTTGCTAGTTGCTATGATATTCAAAATGACAAAAGGCTCATGGACCACTACATGGATTCAATGGCAATGAAACTTCATCATAGAAGGAACAAGAAAATAATCCAATACAAACTATTAATAGCATAAAAAACCTTCATGGTCAAAACATGTCTCCAAGTGTGTGTGTGTGTGTGAGAGAGAGAGAGAGAGTCCACTGGCTGTTTCAAAATAAAAATGGTTGGATGGGAAGCAAATACTGTTTTGGGGTTGGAGCAAACTGTTCTCACACTCTCGTGTGTTCTCTGATGGAGTCAAAAACAATCCTAAACTGAGCAAACCACACATAATTATTTTGAAGTGATAAACACATTTTCAAGCAATGGACAGCTGATGTCTCTCCTCTCCTCCCTGCGCGTGACCTGTTCTAAGCATCACCTCCCTTATTATAATCCATAATGCACACATATAAATGCAGAGAGAGAGAGAGAGAGAGAGAGAGAGGTGGTGGACATTGTTGCAGCTTGCAGATCTCTAGGTATTCCCTTGGTTCATTTGTTTATTATATTCCTTTGAAAAAAATTATACTTCAACCCCCTCAGCTATATTCACCCTCCCATATCATCCGCTCAACTATTATATTTCCACATTACACCTTTAATTTCACATTGCCCTTTAATTATCACATCTCTTATATTGCACCTCTTATTATGTTTGTTGGTTTTACGTTTTCCCGACATTGGAAAATTATATTTTATTGCACATCTCATTTTTTTTCACCCAAAACTTGATTAACCTTAGGTTTTGAGGTAATGTAAAACAAATAGAATAGTTTAGAGGTTTGGCACACTTGTAATTTTTTCATCAAAATAAAGTTTGACCTTTGTCGTGAAGTCATTATAGTACTTTAGAAAGATTGTGTGGTTGAGATAAAAGCCATAAATCAATCGTGGAGCGGAAAAAACAGAGTGAGATTAGAACCATAGAAAACTCAAAAGTTAAGAGGATGAAGTAAAAGCAGGGCCATCATTGAGGGATCAAAGTGTAGTTTATTCTATTTCTTTGGTAAGACTTTGGTTTGCCCCTTCTTGGGCTGTAGTAGAAATCCACCTAGTACCATCAATTGTTAGTTCTTTGAGTTCAACCCAAGCAAGCCAGAAAAACAACTTACACAGAGACAGAGACAGAGACAGAAGAAGCAGCAGCAAAACCCAAATGATGCAAACCCGAGAAGAAAGGCTTGGAAATTGAGGCAAATGTCGATGCCCAGCTCGGGGCAATCCTCCAATCCCAACCATAACCACAGCCAAAACGACCTCCCTTCATCATTTTTCACCACCCTTCCACCACCTCTATTCTTCTCCTTCACTCTCCTCTCAACCCTTTTCACCCTCTCAACAACCACCACCACCGCCACTGCCACTGCCACCCCTAACCAAGAAGCCATTGCACTCTTCTCATGGCTACACACCTCTCCATCACCACCACCTTCTCTCTCATCAAACTGGAATTCACTAGACCCCAACCCATGCAACTGGTCTTACATAACTTGCTCTCCACAAGGCTTTGTTTCAGAAATCAATATTCAATCACTCTCTCTTCAGCTTCCAATCCCCTCCAACCTTTCTTCATTCACACACCTTCAAAAACTCACAATTTCCGATGCAAACCTCACCGGAACTATCCCAGCCGACATCGGAGACTGCCATTCCCTCAACATTATCGACCTTAGCTCGAACACCCTTGTGGGTCCCATCCCAGCAGCCATTGGAGACCTTCAAAACCTCGAAGACTTGATTCTGAACTCAAACCAACTCACCGGAAAAATCCCAGCTGAGCTAAGCCACTGCCAAAACCTCAGAAACATTCTTCTTTTCGATAACCGTTTAGGTGGGTCTATTCCTCCAGAATTAGGCCAGTTATTGAGCCTAGAAGTCCTCAGAGCCGGCGGGAACAAGGACATGGCCGGAAAAATCCCCGACGAGCTCGGAAACTGCGGCAACCTCACCGTCTTAGGCCTTGCCGACACCAGAATTTCAGGGTCTTTACCGGTGTCGCTGGGTAGGCTTAGCAAGCTTCAGACATTGTCAATCTACACTGCAATGCTCTCCGGTGAAATACCACCGGAGATAGGTAACTGTTCTGAGCTTGTGAACTTGTATTTATATGAAAATGGTATTTCGGGTTCAATTCCATTAGAGCTTGGGAAGCTTCAAAAGCTCGAAAAATTGCTGTTATGGCAGAACAATTTCGGTGGGGTTATTCCAGAAGAGATTGGAAATTGTAGTAGTTTGAAAATGCTTGATTTCTCTTTGAATAGTTTATCTGGGTCTATACCTTGGTCCTTTGGAAGACTTATTGAGCTTGAAGAGCTTATGATTAGTGATAACAATGTCTCTGGTTCAATTCCTTCTGTTCTTTCAAATGCTAGAAATCTTTTACAATTGCAACTTGATACAAATCAGATTTCTGGGTTGATTCCTCCTGAGATTGGAGGGTTATCAAAACTTCTTGTGTTCTTTGCTTGGGAAAACCAGCTTGAAGGAAGCATACCTTCAAGTTTGGCTAGTTGTAGTAGCCTCCAGTCACTGGACTTGTCTCACAATTCACTCACTGGTAGCATACCACCAGGCTTGTTTCAACTAAAAAATTTGACTAAGCTTCTCTTGATTTCTAATGGTATTTCGGGTTCGATACCGCCGGAAATTGGTAACTGTAGGTCTCTGGTGAGGCTAAGGTTAGGGAACAATCGAATTGGTGGTGAAATTCCTAAGGAAATTGGGGGTTTGAAAAGCTTAAACTTCCTTGATTTGTCTGGAAATCGCCTTTCCGGGCCTGTGCCAGATGAGATTGGAAGTTGCACAGAATTGCAGATGGTAGACCTTAGCAACAATACACTGGACGGTCCCCTGCCTAATTCATTGTTTTCTCTTTCTGGGCTGCAAGTTTTAGATTTTTCGAGTAATCAATTCGTGGGTCCTATTCCAGCAGGGTTTGGGCGACTAATTTTGTTGAACAATCTTATTCTGAGTAGGAATTCATTCTCAGGATCGATTCCTCCATCGCTGGGCGTCTGTTCCAGTCTCCAGTTGCTTGATCTTAGCAGCAATCAGCTCTTGGGAAACATCCCAATGGAATTGGGTAAAATTGAGGCCCTCGAGATTGCTCTCAACCTCAGTTGCAATGGACTTACTGGACCTATCCCGACTCAATTGTCTGCACTCAGCAAGCTTTCCATACTAGACCTATCGCACAATAAGCTTGAGGGAGACTTGAGTCCACTAGCCGGGCTTGGCAATCTTGTCTCTCTCAACATCTCTTACAACAACTTCAGTGGTTATCTTCCTGACAGCAAGCTCTTTCGACAGTTATCAGCATCAGACTTAGATGGAAACCAAGGCCTATGTTCATTTGGCCGTGACTCGTGTTTCTTGAGCAATGCCCCTGGAAAAGGAGGGAAAAGTGAAAATGATGCAAGGAGGCTTAAATTAGCAATTGCATTGCTAACCACTATGACAATTGCAATGGTGATCATGGGAACAATTGCAGTGATTCGGGCACGGAGGAGCATTAGAGGTGATGATGATTCAGAAATGGGAGAGTCATGGCCTTGGCAATTCACTCCATTTCAGAAGCTAAATTTTTCAGTTGACCACGTGTTGAGATGTCTAGTGGATTGCAATGTGATTGGAAAAGGGTGTTCAGGAGTTGTTTATCGTGCTGATATGAACAATGGTGAGGTTATTGCAGTGAAGAAGCTTTGGCCAACAACAATTACAGAAGCCAGTGGTTGTAAAGATGACAAATGTGGAGTTCGAGATTCCTTCGCTGCAGAGGTGAAAACACTCGGCTCTATACGACATAAGAACATCGTTAGGTTCTTAGGTTGTTGTTGGAATCGAAACACAAGATTGCTCATGTATGATTATATGCCTAATGGAAGCTTAGGTAGTCTCTTACATGAGAGGCAGGGAGACCCCTTGGAGTGGGAATTGAGATACCAAATTTTGTTAGGGGCTGCACAAGGACTTGCATATTTACACCATGATTGTGTCCCTCCTATTGTTCATAGGGACATCAAGGCCAATAACATCCTCATTGGTCTTGAATTCGAGCCTTACATTGCAGACTTTGGGCTTGCCAAGCTCGTCGATGATGGTGATTTTGCTCGCTCGTCCAATACAGTAGCAGGTTCCTATGGATATTTTGCTCCTGGTAAATATCCCTCTCTGCAGCATAGTGGAATGCTTTTCTGCTTTCTTATTTCGATCTTCATCTACCAAAACTCGAAGAAAAAACTATATATATTCATTGCATTTAATTTAACATCTTAGACAAATTTCAATGTGAACAGGCATAAAGATTGGTTTAGTATAGGATCATAAATTGTACTATTTACAACAATGTCATCAATCAGAATGCACAAATTTTGCTGATTTTTTTTCAGAATACGGGTACATGATGAAGATCACAGAGAAAAGCGACGTTTATAGCTATGGTATAGTTATGTTGGAGGTGTTGACAGGGAAGCAGCCAATCGATCCAACGATACCAGATGGACTCCATGTAGTGGATTGGGTGAAAAAGAAAACGGGAAGTACTGATGTCCTAGACCCGAGCTTACTATCACTGCCTGAATCCGAGATTGAGGAAATCATGCAAGCATTAGGCGTAGCGATATTATGTGTAAATTCATCCCCCGACGAAAGACCTACAATGAAAGATGTGTCTGCAATGCTCAAAGAAATCAAGCATGAAAGAGAGGAGTATGCAAAGGTTGATGTGCTCCTCAAAGGCTCTCCCGCAGCCAGTGCTTGCAAAAATAATAACGCTACTGGCGTTCCGGCAACATCATCATCGACACCAACAATGAGAAGTTTGTATCCAAATAGCAATAACACAAGCTTCTCAGCATCCTCATTGCTGTATTCATCTTCCTCTGATACCAAAGTGGGATTTAAGTGATCATAACTTGCAGGGCAACATCTAAATGGTTATGGAAGTTTGTCCTCTGTTTTTTTGTTTCTGTGGTTTCAAAGTAGTTTGTTTTGTTTAGTTCTGATATAAAATAGAAAAGGGTAATAGGGGCAAGGATCAAAATTTCATTTCGAAACGTTCAAAACGTCTCCATTTTCAAGGAGATTCAAAAAAATCAGTTATAGAATTGAAATTTTAATTCTTCGAGATATTTCATAATGTTTTGATGTATTTTGTAATGTTTTAATGTATTTGCATAATTATTTCGGAATGTTTTAATATAATTTGGTATATTACAACCAATATTTTTAAAAAATAATTCTTAATTTTTTTTTCAATTTGATTCTGAAAATGGGTTTAAACAATTTTAAAATACGTCGAAATTTTTTCATTTTCTAAGTGATAAAAATAATGTACTAAAATAAAATTTTGATATTTGGTTTTGATCTTTGGACAGTGACTGAAACTAGTTGGAGGAGACCAAATGAAGCCATCACATGCAAGTTTGGCTTTTCTAGTATTTCTTAACAAGCATGCATAGCCTAGTCAAATTCTCCAGGTTTTAAGTGACAACTACACCTTTCAAACATACAAGTGGACCTGCAGCTGAAAAAAACATACTGTGGAGCCCATGTTGAATTCTCATTTAGGATGATAGATTTGGTTCAGCCATAAAGAGTTCAAATTTGATAAAGTTTGGCCAAGTTTTAGAGTGTAAAGGTAGGTGCACAATAAGAATCCAACGGTCACGATTCGGTCACCTCATTTGCATGATTAACAAATGTTTTGAACCCCATCAATGATGTAGCCAAATCCTGCCCACTCATATTTCTATCATACAGTTGTGTTAGATCAAACTTTTCCAATATAGAAAATAGATAAGATCCTCTCCGTCTGAGAGCTCCTCATCCTTGTTAGGGTTTCACCTGAGGTTTTTCTAATCTTCGTACTTTTATGGCTCATTGATCTCTGCTTTCTCAGGTATCGAAGAGGTAGATCCCGTGATTTCTTTTGTTTAGGTACCTGATTCGCCCCTCATTTAGTGTCCATTTAATGCATCTCATCGTTTGATATGCCTTGCATTTTTCTTCCCTTTGGTTTAGTATCTAATCATCCTTGTTTCACCTTTTTACTTCTCTGTTGATCCCCATTGGTTCTTGTTTCTATTTTTCCCTTCTCTGAGCTCATCCATTGTCTTCCATAACCCTTTTCTGGACTGTTTCACAACCCTTTCTTCTCTTTCACTGGTTTTTGCTTGGGGGTGTTGTCCGGATCACCCTATTTTGCATTTTGTCAGCTTCCATCATTTCTTTCCTGTATGGAGAAATATACAGAAGTCGATTCGCATTCCTTTCCTTCCCCATGTATATCCTTATTCTCTAATCCTTCCACATCTAAGACTGTTGAAAAATTCTGTCTTGTGGGTCGATTTTATACAGACACTAATCTAAACAAACAAGGGGTATGCAATGTCTTGCAAAGTTCCTGGAAAACGTCTAAGGGTTTCTCCATTACATACTGGGAGAAAAATATATATATGTTCATGTTTAAAGAAGAGAGGGATAGAGATAAGATTTTGGATGAGAGCCCCTGATCTGTCATGGGAGCCTTACTGTTGTTAAAAACTTATCAGCCTTAGTTTATCATCAGTGATTTTGATTTTCATTTCTTGGAATTTTTTATGCAAATTAGGGGATTACCATTGGATTTGATGACTAAAAACAACTCATGGAGGATAGGGAGGGTTATTGGGGAGCCTACACAGTTGGAGGAATTCAATGGTGATGTTCAGTTCTAGCGTAACTTCTTATGGGTTAAGTGCAAGATCAACCTTAAGGAACCTCTAAAAAAGGGTTTCTATCTTGCTCGGGACAACCAAGATGATATTTGGATCAACCTATAGTACGAAAGGCTTTCTGATTTCTGTTATCTTTGTGGAAGTATAGGTCACTAACAAAGCCAATGCAAGGAAAGGTGTCATCTGAGCTCTAAGAGCCAATTTGGTCTAGATTTGCGAGCACAAAGCAATTCTTCTTCAGATTTTTTCCGGGAAACATGGTCTTTGAGGGCTCGGGAAAATATGGAAAAATGAGAGAAGCTCAAAGGTAAACTTTATGAGACAGGGGAAAAAGCTGACCCCTCGGTTTGTGGTTCTTCAGTTTCTAGTACGACACAAGGAGGTAAGCATACGGAAGTACAGGCTAATCCTATTGAGAACATTCCAAAGCCTCATTGTAAAGAACCTTCTGGTAATATGCATAACCGAACAAGTGTCCATGTTGACAGCACCCCTCCATTGGTTGTAGTGCCTTTCTCGGGTGGGGACCAAGGTTGGGACCTTAATTATATCTACTCTATCTCCAAGGAGGATTTGAGCATGTTGGTTGCTGTAAAGAGAGGATCCTATTTTGTTTTTGATCCATCTGCTAACTTGGAAGCCCAGACATCTGATGATAGGGTGGTCCATGTTATTTCGGATAGTGGGATTGAGGATGTTGGTGATAGTGATATATTGCATTGGATATAAAAAATATTATATAAAAATCTACATTATATTGGACATTCAAATGATAAACTTAATTTTGAACTTTAAAGTTTATCGGACCCACAAAACAAAGGATAATATGAAATTATAATTTTTTTATTAGGATAAAATTATATTTTTTAACGGTTATATTAACATATATCAACAAAAAAGGGTTACGTGTTACACGTGCACAAACGTCATGAGATGTAGGAGTAATATTCTAAATGTGAAAGTGTTCAAATAATTAAGTGACAAGTATGAAGGGATCTACGTATAATTTATCTATTTAGTTTTAGATGCACATTGATACAAATTTCTATCTTTGAGGGTGTAAAATGAGATTTTTTTATCTTTTAGGGTGTACATTAATACAAATTTTTATTTTTGAGGGTGCAAATTGAGATTTTTGATCTTTGGGAGTGCACATTGATACACTTTTTTATTTTTAAGGGTAAAAATTAAGATTTTTTTATCTTTAGGGGTATATATTAAGATTTCAACTATCTTTTGGGGTGTAACTTTCAATTAATTTAAAAAATATAATTAAAATATATGCAAATTGACCTAAATATTTCTCGCGTTTGAAAAAAAAAAAAAAAGGAATGAGGGGGCCTTTGACCCACTGCATTTGTGTGTCTATATAATGCGGCCTGTTGTCTCACTTTTTTTCTCATTCCCTATTTTGGTAAATAGGTATGGAAGAATTGATTCCTAGATTGCAACGACTGTACCTTTCCAATTTCTTTTAGACTGTTTTGTTACTTTGGACCAGGGGTCTTCGTCCTATCTTACGAGTTAAAAATATAATTTTTTGTTTTCTTACTTCATACTTTGTGAAAATTTTCTTTTCTTAGCTTACCCTACCCGATCAAGTGTGATATTCCTACTTGACTTCTAACCAAATTAATCGGGTAGGAAGTCAGGTAGGAAATCGGATAAAAATCGGGTGAATACTTTTATAATTATTAATTTTTGGATCATTTTAACAATTCAATTAAATAACATACACCAATTTAACAACACAATAAAACTAATAATACTAAAATCTAAAACAATTACAACAATTACAATAAAACACAGAAAAACATAAGCATCAATCTATCATAATTATTACACAAATACAATAACAATTATTTTAATTTTAAATCATATAGTTAGGAAATTTTGGTTTTTAGTTATATATATATATATATAAATTAATGTGGGTAGGGTATGATAGAAATACAAAAATTAATGGTTATTCTGCATTTTCTATCCCGATTTTTTGGGCTAACTATTCAATAAGGTTATATAGGATCGAATAAGGTAAAAATTACGACTAACCGAAAATTTGAGCAATCATACTTTGAACTGGCTACAGCTTTCTTGGGTGAAATGATAACTATACAGTACAAAATATGATTTGTGTATAATAGAAATGTGAGAATTAAATATCAATTTACAACACTTTCTAAACAAAATTACAAAAATAAAGTATTTTTAAATTTAATTATTAAATTATGACACCTTTTTAAAAATGTGGCCAACTAAGTCATTTGTTTGCTGATAATGCGGTCAACAACCCTGCATTTATTAAAAAAAGTGATCAACTAAACATTTACTTAAAAAACTTTATTCTCGTGAAAACATTATTGAAGACCACACTTTCTATTTAAAAACGGGGAAAGTCTACGATACCCGGGAAAAAAAAAAAAAAAAATTGGCACCATGCTGCAAATTACTATTTTTTATGGTAGAATTACAACCGTTAAAAAAAAGGGAGGTCATGATCGATCATAGACTTTTTTTTTAACAATTTTAACTTTTCTATTATGAGTTGTAATTTAACTTTTAAAAATTGTAACTTCAGTATTAATCTCAATCTTGCATGATCGATCATGACATTTACAAACTAAAACTTACATTTTAAAAAAATTATAAATTTTAATATGATACTATCGACGGTACCATAGCCTTCCCTAAAAATTAGGGTGATCGATTTTGCTTTTATTAAAAAAAAACATGGTCAAACAAACATTTATTTAAAAAACTTGATTCTCGTGAAAACGTTACTAAAGTCCATATGGTTGATCTCGCTTTTGTTAAAAAAAAAAAGGGTCCACAGCTCTAGTTTTAAAAAATATATTGTGCTATATCATCACATTATCGGTCTTCATATGTGCCATCTATATAATAAAATACATAGAAAATTAAATTTTATCCCCTATACATTTTTTTTCCAAAATCATCACATCACTTATTTCTATTATATGTTTAATCATTTAATATTTGATTAATTTACAGTTTAATATAATTTTTATTTCATATATTATCCATACATGATAGTATATATATGTTGAAAAAATTTTATCGAATTACGTATTTAAAAAAAAATTGTCAATATTTTTAAGAAAATAATGGGTAAAAATAACTTTTGAATGATGTAATCAAAAAAATAAAGGAAAAAAAAATTATTATTTATTATAGTGAGATTAATTTTTCAGGACTTGAATTTTATATTCTATCGTGTCTCTAGACATGAGTTATGACTAATTGCGTTATAACACAGATTGATCAAAATTTCGAAGGAATTAGCCAACTTAAAAGTCCATTAGGACTGCCCCAAATGGACAAGCTTCTAAATACCCGTTAAATGTAATTCGATACATAGCTCATGTTCAATGGTTAAGTCTGCTCTCTTAAAAGTAGGTATAACAATCGTATCAAAAGGAACAGTTTCGTGTCAGATGGAATGGATTTATGTCAAAAAAAATATTTTATTCATACATCATTTGTTTATATAAATGAGTTGAACTATCACACTCATATATGAATTATTATTTATTATACGGGTTACCCGATACAATACGTGTGTCACTCGTTAAATAAGATAATAGATTAGCGTATTTCGAGTTCACACGAAAAAATCATCTACTTGCTACACATTACACATGTTTGATCTGTTTACTGTAACAATAAATCATTGATAATTAAAAAAATAAAGACAAAAAATAAATATTAAATGACTATTAAATTTGAATGAGTTTAATAGATGGGAGGTGTAAGATGATACACAGGTTAAGAGACCTAATTTTTTTAAAAAAATTTATAGTACCATTGTTAACGGTTTAAACGGGTTGAAACGAGTTTATGAGTTAAACACGAAATCGGTTCATTTATTTCACGGACCTGCTGAGTTAACCCGTTAACCACCCCGAACCCGTTAAAACTATATCCAAGCCTGTTAAATCCGTGTCGGGTTCATATCGATTTCACGAGTCGCGTCTAGAATTGTCACACCTGCTTATAAGTATAAGTAAGATGTATTAAGTTCGATATTTCTCGCACTCCTTAAGAATTAGTCACCCTTGTTCCTCAGGAAACATATCGTTAAACTAGCTTAAACTAGCTTGAATTACGGTGGTTGACTTAGAGCTCGAGAAAATAGTCAGTCCAAATCTAGACAAACTATAACAAAAAAAAAAAAAAAGTATAGCCCGTGAGTCTATTCTTTATTGGAACAGCCCGACTCAACCCATTGACCAATCACAATTCTAGGCATATTCGCTACAGCATTAAATGTCTTCATGAAGATTTACGTTAAATCATAAAGTATGTTCAAAATTTGTATGTATACGTTTAGCAATGTTTCAAAGAAGCATAAAATGTAGAAATCGAAAACAAATATATATATATATATATAAAAGTTGTTCCATCTTAGTATGGTCACTATGTTTTACACAACTTTGCTGATTTACTTGCCAACAACTTTGTCTTTGATCTTTTCAGTGATGGTATTGGCTGTTTCAGAAGCAACCTTGGCCGTTCCCCAAGCTCCTTGGACTTTTTCCTTTGCTTTCTCTGTTGTTTCTGATACCTTCTCAGTCACTACTTTGGTCATTTTGCTCACCTGAGCTCCCAAACACACATTAATGAAAAGGTAAATATTTAGGCAACAATACACAAGTAGGGACTATAAACAAGAATGTAATGGTAACGGCATAACGGACGAGGTGCTTAAAGTTATATAATGGAAATGTATGAATATTTTCTTCACTCTTGTCCCTTCAAAATGCAAACTTGCGTGTATTTTTGGTCCAAAACCATTCATATAGATGACGGGCATACATAACATAGAAATCATATTTGAAAAAGATGAATAATTAGTTAGAGTAGCGGGTGTTATACGGAAACTCATTAGAAATGAGAGAAAATCAGCAATGGATCTATTTTCTATTCAAATTCTCATCAATCAGTATAAGGAAGAAGAATACCTTGAATCCTACTTCTTCCTGTCATCTTTATAAAAATTTTCTATTGAAAGTTCATTTATGGTGGAATGCTAATAATACATGATGTCTCGATTCCTATTTTCCACGTCAAAAGATTATTTTTCTCACATTACACTCTGAATGTTAAAAATAAGTTCTAATGTTGTCCTCAAACTAACATCTATTTCAAATTCTGTTAAAATTTGACGCACCCCAATAGGCCTCATGACTCATGAAGCGCCTGTTATTCCTCTCAGACACGAACCTAGTTAGGCTAGCAAAGTGGTCAATTACTGAGTCCCAATATAAACTTCAAGACTCGAATTACTAACCTCATGATGAAAAGTTAAGTCTGTATTCCACTGAACCACCCCACTCGATGGTAACATACTACTTAATTTATTTGGATTACATTCAAAAAATGCAGATATGGTTTAGGGAGGATTACATTTTCAGCAGTGGAGCTGGCCATGTCTCTCACGAATTCACTGGTCTTCCTCACTTCTCTTGCCCCTTCTTTCACTGCCTCTGCTGCTTCTTTGACTTCTCTTGCTCCTTCTTTATCTGATTTGGACTGTTAATTATCATTCAACAATTATTATTATCACTAATATATTATGCACGAGATCAAGAATAAGTAACAAAACAAAAAAAAAAGAATAATAATAACTTAAAATCAGACGCTGACATGTGTCATTGGTAACTATCCACCAACTCTTCAATAACTAACCAGAACTCAGAATTATTTAATTCAAAACCTAAGGTTCTCTCCAATTAGAAGCTACCATATATCATTTGTAAGTTGTAACCATCCCTCGACTCTTCAATAACAAACTACTATTTTTTTTCAAATTTATTCATAAAAGTTACTTTTAACCACCCAAAAAATTTCTAGAATTGTTTATTTAATTTTTCAAGTGATTAAATAAAAGAAGAAAGGAGTGAATAAAAAAAAATAGAACAAGAGACGCGAATTATAATTCCGTGTATTGCACGGGGAGGTCCGCTAATAATTCATTAAATCAAATTCACTAACCAATAATGTCTAAAAGTTCTACATCGACTGTAAAACACAACTTAGGATTTGATGATGATCATAATCAAATTCAGGATCAATCAATAGGTTCAATTCTAATCCTACTACGGTTTAGACCACTGAAACACCTATAAATACAGCTCCACTCGATGTGTATGTCGCTCTTCTTCTTCAAACATTCAACAGATTCGAGTTTTTTATTGCCTTAAACATCAGATGGTCGATCTATAGAACTCATCCAATCTTTAACTTTCTGTTCATGTGATTGTGATTGAACCGACCAGATTTGAAGGCGGTCCAATTTTTTGCATCAATAGAATTGATCCTAAAAAATTAGTATCTATCCTAAATCAACTTTGGAGAATCATAACTGCTGATATTTGAGTCGTTTCTTCGCTATGCTGTAGCTTTCTACACGAAATGAAGCTATATATGTTACTAAAATCACCCCCATATGATTAATATCTCCATCATTTTTTCACGTAGCATTTCAACGTCAAACAAAGTTACACCATGAATGGGGAAATTCAATGAAAGTAGACATGACTCACTCTTTGAAAAGATTTTGTACAACTGACAAAGCCCCTTGTGCTCCAAGGGCTTTTGGTTCCGCCATGAATGCTATTTGGAAGCTTTGCTGCTAGTTTCAAGCTTGACATATCTCTCTTGCTTTGTTGCTATGGATGTTCTATTCTCAATTAGAACAGTTGATCTTTTCATGGGTCTTGATCTCGGTCTGTTTTATAAAACAAAGAAAATAAAGTGACACTTGTCATTCCTCAAGTTTTCTCTCTCAAAATTTGAGAAAATTTCTCTGTTTTGTGGTTGCTAAATGCCTCAAGTTGTGCATTGATCCTTTTTTATCTGCTATTTTGAGGGAGAGTTAATCATCTGCACTAAGTTGGCATACATATAGGTAGATCAATCATCGTGTGTTTATAGAATGCTTTTTTCATTTTTTTTTAATGGTAGATCAACCATCGCGTGTTAATTGAGAACTCATTCATATGTGGTGGTTCTCACTTTAACTCATAACAATGACTCGTCATTAAAAAAAAAATAGAGAATAGTGAAAAACTATTAGTAATGTTACACAAAACTCCTTTTTTTGTCAACTTTCTCCCAATTATGTGGATTGTTAGATTACTGAGTCTCATTAGGCCCACTAATCAGCCACTAATAGATTGTGGTTGTACCGCATCATTTGGTAAGAGCAATATTATTGACCAAAGATTCTCTCTATTACACTTTAACTCAACAGTATATCATTAATTGTGTATGAATGTGGGTTCCATAAGTAAATAGTGAGTCTCATTTTAGGAAGCACGGATATGGGTACGATACAAAATGAGTACATTAGGATACACCTACATATTTATAAATACATATATAAGTATATGTATATGTATATATTAGAATGTTATTACAACACTAGGGATTGTGGGGGAGAATTCTTGACACAATAATACTATTGAGACATAATTTGTTGATATAATTTATTGACCTAATCTATTACAATTATTTAATTGGTAGCAAGACCCAATGAATACTAGGATCTACTGTCAATCTTGGTTAATAAATTAAAGTCCAATACTATTATTACGTTAGAACAATATTACTTAGACTTAATTTATTGATCTAATTTATTAACTTATTCACTCAAAACCATTGGATTGGTAGCGAAATATGAACTTTTACCTTTGAATTTGGTTTGGTCATTGTAGACGATACTTTTCTTGTACATCCTCGTGGAGGATTAACTCAAATGAAATTCAAAAAATTACAACTCAAATACATATCATCCTTTAGATGAGTGGATCCCATCAATTTTTTCAGTGGGATCCACTTATCTAATGAATGATATACTTTTGCGTTATAATTTTTTGTTTTTATTTTGGTTGTGTAGTTTTTTCTGACAAAAAAATAGAATTTTAGCAACAAATTTGATGATGACGAATTTTATTATAGTGATGGTATGAGGGACAAGCTACATGCCTCCGGAGAATGTCTAAGACGGAATGGATTGTTGAATCACTAATTTTTCTTAGAATTTGGGTTGTTAGAGAGAATGATTAACAACATGGCTTTAGGTGATTTTGGAATATACTCACTATTTCAATTTTTATCCATGGATGAATTGTAGTAATTGTTCGGAATGTTTTGTGTCGATTTGACTGACTTTAGTTCAAATAACTGAAATAGGAAAATAAACTCCCTTCCGTTGGGTGGGAATTCAGACCAAATGAGAAACGTAAACTATCTCTTTAATTCTCCATTTAGTAATGTGTTTGTCTTTCTTTTGTACTATAAAATATATTTATTTATTATTTTCTTTCTCTCACTCTCTCTCCATGTGCGAGTGGAGATCACACATGTGAAGGAGTATTAGAGTGTTTTTTCATATCAATCCCAACAATTTACTCTAGTAATTGTTCAGTACATAAGATGAGAGATGGTAATTAAGTGCTTGGAAGGAGTATAATAGAATGATCCACGATACTCGAACACGTTGTCACTAACATGCACTATCACCAAGCACTTATAAACTACTAAATTAGATTTAGTGAATTCTACTTAAATCCAAATTAGTTGTTATTAGACGAGATAGATACTGACGGTTATAAAGTTATATCACCGTTGCAATGGAGTATTACACACTTAATAAACTCCCTTCCGTTGGGTGGGAATTCAGATCAAATGAGAAAAGTAAACTATCTCTTTAATTCCCCATTTAGTAATGTGTTTGTCCTTCGTTTGTACTATAAAATGTATTTATTTATTATTTTCTTTCTCTCACTCTCTCTCCATGTGCGAGCGGAGATCACACATGTGAAGGAGTATTAGAGTGTTTTTTCATATCAATCCCAACAATTTACCCTAGTAATTGTTCAGTACATAAGATGAGAGATGGTAATTAAGTGCTTGGAAGGATTGTAATAGAATGATCCACGATACTCGAACGCGTTGTCACTAACATTCACTATCACCAAGCAATTACAAACTACTGAATTAGATTTAGTGAATTCTACTTAAATCCAAATTAGCTGTTATTAGACGAGATAGATACTGACAGTTATAATGTTATATCACCGTTGCAATGGAGTATTACACACTTAAAAAACTCCGACTTGAAAAAATATTAATGGCGCAGAAAAAAGAAAAAGAAAAATATAAGGACATGCCACCTACAAGAAAAAAGATTAGGTTTTTATTTTTCTTTTAATTTATTTGAAGTATGCACACAAGTTGTCCAGAAAGGATTGAAAATCTCTGCTAAGTTCTGCAGCAACAGTACTGATACAGAGGTGGAAAACATTGCCCAGACTTAAAACCACCCCTTTGGCAAAAGGTATTGCAATCAGGAAGGTTTTCACATTTTCCTTGGCACACAATACTAGCTTCACCTGCAATAGAAAAGGCTATAAAGAAAAATGCCCAGTTATGAGATGAAAATGGTGATCAATACATCTTAAAATTCATCAAATTGTATCAGATTATTCTTAGAGAATCACGTCGTTTGTTTATCCGTATGTACCACGTGTTGTGCGAAGAGATGGACAAACAAATTGGATTTGAAAGGGTAAATGTTTCCCTTGAATACCATAATAGGTTTACTGTCAATTACTTTTACCTAAAATCCAAAATTCATTGGATAATCCTAGAATTTTTTTTGCCAGGGAGACAGAAATTACCTAATTAAACCTAAAAAGACTAAAATTTCACTCGAAACTTGCAATCAACCAACAGAAGT